AAGAAAAGCAAGTTTTTGAGAATGAAAAAAGATAATCAAAAAATGATACAAAACACCTGAAACACTCTGAAACCATTCATTTGCGGACATATGTTTATTAAGACTTTTCTGCATATTTTGGCCCATACTACCTCCCGTTTTATTTTGTGACACTTTTTTTTTTAACACCCTGTATAACGTTAACGGGAAACATTTTCTTTCTCTTAACATCGCACAAAAACTTCTACACAGGATTAGTAGGTAAAAATCATTAAAAATATGAATCAATTTTTGCTGATTTAAAAATTTATTTGTATGCCTATTGTTGTGATTCATTTTTACAGGTTGCCATAGAAACGACAAAAAAACTACTATGATTATGGTTTAAAAGAATTATCTAACAAGAGTTTATAATAATTATTATTGACTATCTCTGCAAAAGGTAGGTAGGTAAAAATATTAATAAGTCCGGTTTAAAAGCTAGGTTCACAATGAATTAGGATTGTTAATTTGCAGTGGGCTCTTTTACTAGGTATAACCAATTAGGCATTCCAACGACCTGTCAAACAATAGATGTCAGTGAGAAGGTCTGGTATATCTAAGGGGGTAGAGACCTTGGAGGTATAATACTAATGGAGATGCCATGAGGCAATTGTTTTGCATATGATACGTTTTATTAAAAATTACCCCACTGGGCGTGGCTTAAATGGTTGACTAAGCAGGGTCGTATTCAAATATAATTAAAGTACGTATGCAGAATTACAACTTTTAAATGACTTACTTACCTAAGATTTGTTTCAACATGATCGATTCGAAATTAATTTGATGATATTGCGCAATTATGACTTCTACACTATTTACTATTATTTATTAACCGTTTTCCGACCAAGCCAATGCTAAGACCATAAAAGAGATTAATATTATTATATTTGTCTGGCTTCGCCGAAACCGTCCGATATATGACCTGTGTGATCCAAAATCAACGTTCGAATAACACTGTGCATCAGATTTATTAATCTCTTTGTGATTTAAAACTAAAACCCGAACTACGATTTTTCGTTCAAGGACTCTCTTGTCTTGAAGCTGCCAATGTCAAAATCTGACAATGAGGAGAATTATGACATCAAATTACCAAACCAAAAACCAAACCACTACGTGAATTGTGAATAAATATATTTCAGTAAAAATACAGCCGAGTTTGTAGAAAGGACAATTAATTACTTTTAAATGTAAAACATGTAGGTCTTCCTGCTGCAGATGACATATATTAAAAATTTGACCCGCTACAATCAAAAGTTTAAAAAGACCAAAAATTCAGCTAGGTATGACTTTATGGTTAAAAGTAGATGGAAGAAAACCATGATCAAAATTACTCTGTCAAAACCAATCGGAACTAAAAAGACTCAGATAATAGTTGTTGGTTTTATTTATGTTTGAAATAATTAATTATATAGGGTAGGTACATATATTACTAAAATTGCAAGCAAGTATTTACTAAAGATTTCTATAATTGGTACCTATGTATAATAAACAACAATCTCACAGATGCATAGCATACAACTATATAAATGGAATTATAGAGATAATTTATTTTAAAAATAGGCATTCAGTTGCGATTTGTGATTACAAAAAGAAAACTTTAACCACTTTTTCTTATCAGTAATGTTAGTGTTATAGTGAAAAAGTTTCTAGAAACTGGTGTTTTTAATCCTATTAAAGCATTGTGAATTTCCAAGAAAAGTGCATGATGTAAATTGTTTTAACCAAAATTTTGAATGTCATGCCATTTAAAAAGAAACCCTGTGGCTGTGGATAACATTTGACATAAAATCTTATCCTAAAAATAATTGTTTGGTTGCATTGGAGGAATAATTTCTTCATTGGTACTTTTTTAGAGTGCAAGGATGACTTGACATTACTAAATTTAAACCTTTGTTATGAGTTGTCTTTTTGCTTTAATTTCTGATACACCTGTATTGTACATACTTGAAAAATATAAAATTGTTCAAGTGGGAAGTTTATATACAAGGTGTCTCATTGAGAAAGGGATACAGAACAACTGAAGAGTCTGATTAAAATATATTCATTATCAAAACGGTATAATAATAGGAAATTAGGATCTAATAAAAACTGCTTTTAAATACTTGAAATTTTATTCTAAATTATGTGTTACTTAAAAAGTTAGTCATTTAAGTGTAATTATAAGTTGGTTTTTAAGTTTAATTATAAGTTGGTGTTTAAGTTTGATTATAGTTGGTTTTAAGTTTAATTATAAAGTTAGTTATTTAAGTTTTATTATAGTTATCTAAGTTTTAATATAGTTATTTGTCTTTATTATAAAGTTAGTCAAGCCAATGTTCTTTATTAAGTTAGTTATTTAAGTTTTATTGTAAATAAAGTGTATACTAACTAAACATTTATTTATTCTTCTTCAATCTGACCCTAAACTCACTCTTATCAAAAAATTCTTCCTTGAAGTGAATAGAGCACAACATGCTATTCGGTTTAGGCTCAAATTGGTCTTTTCCCACAAATTTAGACCAAATTTTAAGATATTGTGGGTCTTTTGGAAACCTATAATAAAAAAAAGTTAAGCATTCTAAAAAAATTCTAAGTACACTCCTTACACTTACTTATGAAAACTTAAATTAGATATTTTCTTACGCTCTTTCACTGAAGAGTTTTTACAATTAATTTTGGCACACTTAGTCATGATTTTTATACAAATTAATAAAAAAAAACACTTATTAAGATAGAAATAATGTCGAAATATTTAAATTTGAACAAAGTTCTGACAGCTCTTTAACAACTATGACATGACCACTAAGAGAGGGGGAAGGGGTGTCGTTTTTTTTTTGGCATGTCATCTCCATAGTATTCAACCTCATTGGTAGAGACTAATAGCGTCTTCGAATCTAGTGCACAGCTTGCACTGAGTGCATACGAAAGGTGGGAGATGTGTCAATACCAGTTACGTTTCAATCTGAAATGTAACTGGTATCGATATATCGCTCATCTTTTATGTGCACTCCACGCAGGCAGGGCAGTGGAATCGAAGACGCTAATAGTCTTGCATCTTAAACGCTTTTTTATTTAAAATAATAGTCACCAAGCCTGCCAATTTATGAAAAAATGTATCTTATTTTTATTATTATTTTTATTGTGTTTAACATAAAATATTTAAATGTAATCCATTATTCATAATTTTACGTATTGTAAACAGAATACATCGTATGTTGCAACTCTTGGATATACCAAATCTTCCCACTGGCAGTTCATTTGTTTGGAATGCCTAATACAATATATGACAACAAACAGCAGTCTTCTGCGCATCCTGAATTTTTATCCCTGGAGTGGATGTTATTTTGGAACATCCAATTGGTCCGAGTGAGCTAACTGATTCTTTAGCTATGAACTGTGAAATAGTCATTTATGTTATGAGGACGAAAAGTTTAGATTTTCGGGCCACTACGAGAAGTTTTCTAGGGGAGACGTAATAAGCTACTATTTTTCGTGAAAATAATAAAAAAGTATTCCATATTGTAACGATTGTTTATTTTAAAAATAGCAAGTTTATATAAAACAGTTTATTTTTAATTTGTTTACACCAATTACTAATGAATTTATTTAGAATACTTAAGCACTATTATGATTACACTTCTAATTTATTTATTTTACAATAAAATTTATCTTTACTTGGCAACATTAGTATGAGGAAGACGGGCAGCGAAAGCGACACAGACATAACAACAGCGACAGTGTAAATACAGAGGAGGCAGCGCGGCAGTTTGTAGGGAGAAGTCTAGGGTCGGAGCGGCCCTGTAAAGTTCAACATCCTCTTACATGGCTGTGATCGATAAGAATAACTAGATAGGTATATTCTTGATAACAATTGAACAATTGCTGTCATGTCAGTTGCTTATGTCAAATCGATTTAATTATAGTTTATTTAATTTTTCTATTATTCAATCAAAATGGTTTCTACTCAAATTTGATGTGGATTAGGGACTACTATTTTACAATAGTAAAAGAAATTATCACCAGCAGTATTAAAAGATAAACTGAAAATTAAACAGAATGTTTAGATAGCGGTGCAGTTTTACTTTTGCGGCCTGGGCCGTAATGGTACTATTCAACACTTCATATGCAGTATGCTTTAAAGTTCTTTTTTTCGATTGTTTTCTGTCCGAAAAAAATGACGTTTTATGACACATTCGAATAAAAAAAGTTATTTTGCATAAAAATATCAACAGCTCAAAAACCATAATAAAATAATCAGTCAAAATTTATCATCTAAAATAAAGCAAATTTGATAGTTTTCTCTTTATTCGTTTTTGAGTAATCGTGGGTACAGATACACCACACATAAAGACAAATATCATCGCGAAAATAGTCCAAACTGATTCAGGGGACCCAAAAACATCGAAAAATCGAGGTCAAATCTAATGATTTCTATATTTTCCTTACTGGATACAGGAAAGTAAAAATGGATTTAAAATAGAGAAAATAGTGTAGGTACAGAACTCGTTTGTCATAAGAATGAAACTTGTTAAGTACCTATCTATTTAATATACCTACTATTCTAAAATATACTAATTAGTAAACAATTTGAATTTAAAGCCACTTTCGAAATGCAGTTAAAATTAATTCAGTAATATTATTTGAAACGACGGAACACACACTAATTTTTGGTTTTTTAAACTAACATGATTTAAAACAAATACGGAATCCTGCAAGGTCAGCTATAAATTTATATTATAGAAAAATAAAAATGTAGAAAGTAAATTTAACAAGCTAAACATATAATATGTTAACAATATACTTTACCTTTTTGAATAAAATATTTATTATCAAAGAAAAATATGTATTTACTTATATTATTAATAAAAATTTTATCAGTGTTAAGAATATATCTAAGATGTATTGTCTCCAAGTTTACTTTTTAATTTAATTGTACAGATAGTAGTCATTGAAATATTTTTGTAATGAACTGAAGTTCGAAAGATCACTCTTAGGAAATCATGGATCACAGTGAAAAAGTCCGTAGGCAGATTCATCCTAGACAAAATGCCAACATATTTTCTCTTATATTTTTCGGGTAAGCAAATTTATATTTAATTATTCAGTGATAATTCTTTTTTCATAAATGTTTAAAATAAAAACTATAGTAAATTTTCTGAAAATTAAAAAATATCGTAATGTAACGTTTGTTTAATTTATTTATAGTTTATTTATTTAAAACACTTTATTTATAATTTATTTATAACGTACTAATTAATTTATTACTATTACAACTCACAATTCTAATTTATTTATTACAATTTGTTTTTACTATCCAACACTTAATTTGAAACTTGTCGTCTGTCAACAAAACGCGCTATTTTTATAGAAATGTAACATTCTCGAAAGGACCAACTGAATAGAAGCTCAGTCTAGAAGTTCCGGGAAATATTCTCCACGTGTCAGACTGCGATGGAAAACATTAGATTCGGTTTTTCGAGTCTCCCAATGGGTCTCGATGTGACTTCCTGTCGGGGGTACGGTAATAAACAAGGTTGGCTTCGCGTCACATTAGTATAAAATTGCGGGACTAGTAAAATCGCTTCAATCATCTTGTAACTTATTTAGCTGAAAACATAATTCATATGTCACGTGAAGCTGCTTTCGATTCGACTAATCGAGACGACTAAATTTTGTTAATAAGAAGTTGTCTCGTAAGTTGTATTATTGCTGGCGATTTACAGTAGGTATGTTCCAACAACGATCAGAAACCAGTCATTGACACCAGGATTGGGGAATTTGGCGGTCCAAATAGTTTATTGCGCAGAATCCTGGTGCTAATGAATGGTTTCGGATTGTTGTTAAAAAATTTGAATTACTTCAAGTAGTAAAGATACCACCTTTAGGAATATAATAAGGAAAAGTAAATTGGATTTTTATATTGTTGAGTTTCAGAAATATTAATTTCTCCTGCTTTTAAAACAAGTACATAAAATGGTTAAAACAGACTTGCAAAGGCACTTTATGCGCAATCTCAACGGTACTCCAGTGACGTAATGCGCGAATTTAATTTGGCTTACTTTTGTCAATTCGCTCAATGCGAAGTCATGGTAGGGGAAGAAAAAGCGATACTAGCGCTAGCTGCGTATAATTCGTGCATTTTAGGGCGATATTTTGTAATTTTGGCATATTAACTACACGTATACATTTTACTTTATTCAACAAAATAGGTAAAAACAATACAATAAGCAACCGGAGTTGGTGTGTTGTAAATTGTAAAAATACTAGAAAAAACAGTGTAAATTATAAAAATTTTCAGTAGCAAAGTGGAAATTAAATCAAAGAAATAAATGGATAGCTGTACAGTAAGAAGAAAAATTACCCTTATTTTGGTAATAATAACAGTAATACTGGAAATAGCAGTAGACATCAGAAACTTGAAAGGTTTTAAATAAACGATAAATGATCATTTTACGATGTTCTTCAACATCCCTTTAATCTTAAATGTTCAGCAAGAACTAGTTTTCTGCATTTGATTATTGTATGTGCTGGAATGCAATTTTGTGACTTACTGATAGGAAACCAGTTTTAATAATTCATTCTCTTTTCTTTCGAACACACATGAAAACATAAATAACAGTCCTTCTGTTTATACATTTTAACTTCACGCTATTATTGAGTGGTATTTTTTTTTATTTTGACAGAATAGGTTAATTCTTTAAAGACAACTTATTAGACTTAGGCAATTTCTCATACATTTTACCGTAAATACTGTTGCCTGCCTATATTTTATTATTGATTTTTATTGATTATACTTAGTTTTTTTAGTTTAAGCGATAAAAATATATAATAATAATAAATTAATGTTTCACTTGTTTTACAAATCCATATACTTTTATTAAAACTAACATATATACTTTTTAATTACGAATTCTATTAAAAATTGTATTATCAGTATACGCAAAAATAGTCCATTAGTACATAAATGAATTGGCGCTGCTGTCATGCACGCAGCGAACAAGGAATATTTTCCATTTTAAATAATCAGTTCACTGACAATCTCATGAAGAAAGTAAAATTAATAAAACAAGTCGACGACTACAATGAAGACTGTAGTAACTCATTTTTGGTAAAGTTGAGAAAATTAAATTCATTTTTTTTTTAATAAAACAAATAAATCTTTAAAAATCCAGAAACAGAAAAATAAACAATTAATGAATGGTTTTAAACTTTTGGTCAAATAGTAGGACAGAATTTATTTTCGTGGAAAACACATTTTTTCAAAAAGTATGCGCTGATAAATGATAACATATGTAGAACGAAAAAATATTTTAGTGATGGAGTGCTTATTAAGAATTGTGAAATCAAAATGGCAAAAGAATTTAATGAAACAAAAATTGCCGAAAAATTCGAAACAATCCCAGTGTCGTATCAAATAATTGCAAGACGTGTAGACCACTTTAATCAATACGTATTCAAAAAAATTGCACGACAAAATAATTAAAAAATGTAAATATTTTTCACTCTGCTTGGATAAAAGCACTGAACAGCCAACTTAATTTTTGTTCGAACTATTTAAAAGGACTTTAATTTTTTTTTTTATTAAAATTAACGAGTCTCGACTGCTGAGGTCATTGACACAACTACAATTATCTACAGAGTGGTTTTACAATATTGTTTTCATAAAATTACTTTGATTTAAATTTTTTGTAAAAGTTGAACGTCTTTTAAAAAACTGAAAAGGCACTGGTATTCTGTAGGTTCCCCTAATATTTCTTCTAGTCTTGATTTCAACTTGTTTCGTCTTCTTTGTTCGGAAAAGTGGTAACAGTCTATCAAAATATGTTTTACAATCAAGACACTATCACAGTAGGTGCATATGGGTGCCTCACTGGTTGTCATCAAGTGGCTGTGAGTAAGTTTAGTGTGTCCAATTCGTAATCTTCTTATTATGACTGCATTTGTTCTGGACAAAGAGGATAATCTGGGGAAGCAATAATGGGTTGTATGTATCGTAACTGTGTGGTCTCCATATTTCAGTGTGTTTGCCAATCGTCATGAACTGTTTTTCTAAACACACTCTTGACATCTTTATATATATGAATATTTTCAGCCGGTACGTCCAATGTGGAAGCTTCTTTGGCTGCACGGCCAGCTGCTTCGTTACCGCTAAGTCCAACGTGAGACGGGATCCAAATGATAGTGACGGGCACTCCATTTGTCACGAAGTTGGAATAGGTGTCATGAATTGCGTTAACTAAGAGGTGTTCCGAGAAAGCATCTTTAATTGAGTGGATCGATGAAAGTGAGTCTGTACAGATTGCAGTATGACAATCATTGGATGTTAACATCCGGAATGCTTCTAATATGCCATATAGTTCCCCAGTGTGTACGCTACACGTGGAAGGAAGTTTAATGAACTTATTGATGCGTGATCTTTTCCTCTCCATAGTATAATCGATAAATAATGTTCCTGTATTATTACTGATGGAGCCAAGGCCAAAGCTATGAGAGGAACTGAAATTTGATATTACGGTTGGATAATACAGACAAATAAATAATTAAAACGGAAACTTGAACCTCCCTGTATTCGGAATATGAATTTCCTAATAACTAAAATTAAGTTAAATATCCTGGCTAAATAATACAGAAACGGAAAATAATTAAAACAGAGTAATTATTTTACATATTACGGTTGAACAATAAAGCAGGTCAAAATAAATAAAAACGAGTAGCTACGACGCTCCCTGTATAATAAAAATTAATTTTCCAATAAATAAAATTGTTTATAAATAACAGTTGAATATTGCAAGAGCCAAAATAATTAACACGGGAATTTGTGACACTCCCTGTATTCGGAAAATGAATTTCCCAATAACTAAAATTAAATTAAATATCCTGGCGAAATAATAAAGAAACAGAACATAATTAAAAGAGTAATTATTTTAAATATTACTGTTGATCAATAAAGAAGCTCAAAATAAATAAAAACGGGTAGCTACGATGCTTCCTGTATATAGAAAATTAATTTTCCGCCAAATAAATTGTTTATAAATAACGGTTGACGATTGTAGGAAAATAAGAGTTAATTACAGATACTATTAGTTATTATTATTGCGAACGATTATTTCGGCACCCCCCGTATTTAGCATCTAGCCGTCGTTTGATAGGCGAGAACTGATAATCTGATATATCTACCACGGCATCCAAACGATATTGCACTATGAAAACAAAATTTTTGTATAACTAATTCTTTGCGATCCCAATCGAAACGGCTTCTTGAATTCTGTGCGACTTCGAATGGCTCGCTTAAGAGTTAGTTTGTGACGGGTACATACTTTGATTTTCTTTTACTATACGGAGAATGGTCGCACTGCGCAGCTTTCTGAGTGCCTCTTAAAAGGAGATAGAAAACTCCGCCATTTTGAACAATTATTACGTGTTGCCTACATCTTGGCGCAATATTTTTAATAGGTGTGTTTTAATCATCCGCTTCTGCTTCGGAATTGTCGGTTTTCTTGTTTTAATCTGACAGGTTAAAACGACTAAACCGACAATTCCGGAAGCAGAAGCGGATGATTAAAACGCACCTGATATTTTGCTTGCTGCTCTCAGTGTCAGTGAATATTATTTTTGGAGTTACAGTTTATTGCTAAAGAATCAGTTAGCTCACTCGGACCAGTTGAAAGTTACAAAATAACATCCACTCCAGGGATACAAATTCAGGATACCCAGAAGATTGCTGTTTTATTATAGGCGGTTGTCATATATTGTATTATCCGAGTTGCGCAGTGTATAAACTGGAACATTGAGATCAAAAGTGCCGACGCAGAGTGAGCGATCTGATTCTTTAGCTATAAACTGTGTCATAGGAATCAAAATGGCCGCGCCCTATGTTGGGCGTGTCGGACCTCTCTCTTGCCCCGTATAGTAATCAAAGTATGTGGTGACGGGAAACGGAATGACTGGAGAAAGCAAGAAAAGAAAAAATAAATAAATAAAAAGGATGGAGCGAGGACCGTCCGGACTAGTAAAAGAAAATCAAAGTATGTAAGACTAGTAATTAGGCATGCCAAACTGAATGGCTACCAGTGGGTTCTGACCACTGATCTGTATTATTTTACTGGATAGGATATAGGATATATTTAACATACTAAAAATCCGTGCCACCAAGGAGACCGGAAGTGCAACACTGCTGGCCGATTTGGGCAAATTATGGTGGGTTCACATAACTGAATTTTGGGATAATTTGACATACCTAACCTATAATTTGATAAGTTTTTCTTCTTATTCTTCTTCTATTCCTTTTGCGGGCAATGTCCTTCGGGACAATTCACCCATAATTTTATTTTTTTATGAAAGAAAATATAAAAATGGAAACGTGAAGCATATTGTGTCTTCACGAATGAACGTTTATTGTTTATATCATAGTAATGCTATTCGATATTACCTAAATAAATAAAAAAAACATCTCATCGTAACTTGTTGACACAATTAAATGACAAATGGAAAAAGAGGTTATGTTAAATAACATCCGGTCCGTCATATTATTTGCCCAAATCGGCCAATTTTTCGGAACGTTTTTTAGAGGGCTATATCCTATCCAGTAAAATAATACAGATCAGTGGTTCTGACGGGTTGTGATATAGCAAAATTATGGCAACCCTGTAGGCCTGGTGATTTGACAAGGTCAATGAAATAGATAGTTACATAGATTGATCATCCATATTTTTCAAAATATACATAAGCTTATGCCTTGAAGTAAAAATGTAAGCAATTATTTTTTTTAAATATCTAGAGGCTAAAAATTGGTTTTAAAACACATTTTTGCTAAACCGATTCAAATTAATAAATATTTGCCAGGCAATATGGCCGCTCGTAAACTATATATGTATCATTGACCCTGTTAATGACAACATGACAACAGGGTTGCCATATCTAAACTGTCATTACCCACTGGTAGCCATTTGGACAGGTCGTTGGAATGCCTAATTAATAGAGGACTTCTATACAAAGGAAGTGCAACCAACTCGACCATTTTTTTTTGACACTAATGACATAAGAAATCGGGTCACATAAAGAGGCTGTTTTTTTGTTAAATTTTTGGTTTTTTTATCTACTTTTATGTCGTTTAGACCCGTTGTTGTACCCGTAACGTAAAAATACTTTTTATTTTAGGGTATTTTACATTTAAAGGTTGAAAACATTTGTCAATATCAGCTGTGGATAATGTCAAAACATAAGCGTAGCATTGCATTTTATTTTTGTTGTTAACAGTCTATTTGTGTTTCTCCCGATTTCTTGAAACATTTTTTTTATTTGGTTTTATTTATTTATGTCGATTGCAAAATGCTGCTGCTACGAATACAAGTTCTATACAATATACAACTAATACAATACTAGTTACGTTATGTCCATCTATGGTTACGCCTGTGTTCTACCATCAACATAATTGACAGCTAACAATGACAAAATGTTTCAACCTTTAAATGTAAAATACCCTAAACTAAAAAGTCTTTTTCACGTTGCATGAAAGAAGATCGGAAAAACCAAAAAGCAAACTAAAATGATTTATTATGTCATTAGTGTCAATTTTATTTTGTCTAGTTGGTTGCACTTTTCTTGTATAGTCGAGACTGGATAGCGTTGTTGAAATTGCGCTACAATTAAATAAGAAAAAAATGACAAAATCGAATTAAACCTCTCACTCCAGCTTTGACTAGGGTGTCTTTTAAAGGAGATTGGATAGAGTCGTGAAATTGCGATACACTTAGATCAAGCCTCAGTCCAATCTCGAGACAAAATTACCAACGGTTTCTCCAATAAGGGATGAAATGAAAACAACTCTGAATACGAATCAAAATTCTCCGGCTAATTAAACGGATGTCTCAAATGAAATATAAAGAGAAAATAAGAAAATGTCCTACCTTGAATAACACTTTGGTCGCTAATACTCTCGGTCGGCGGGAAACTAATAACTTTCACTAGAGCGGCAAATACTGTAGAAGAAGAAGAGACTACGGTGGTCAGGAGCCGAAGAGGATGAAATTTGATTTTTTTTTTTTTTTTTTTTTTTTTTTTTTTTTTTTTTTTTTTTTTTTTTTTTTTTTTTTTTTTTTGATTTATTAGCGGAAATCTTAAGTGTTTTACATTTTCTAGGACATATTGTTTTCCTATTTCCCTGCTATAGGAGTTATCCTCCTTTTCAGGGTGGTCTGCCCTGATTACAAAAGTAACCTAGCTAGCTAATTCCTAATTTTGTGCGCGTGTGTGTGGGACCTGTGTGGCAGGTTTGTTCCCCAAGAATATCGCCAATTTTGCTATTTCCAACCTCATAATTGGACAGGTCCATGTATGAGGTGGGGAATATGATTTAGGAAAACCACAAAACCTAAACCACGATATTGTACATGTGTTTTGATTTTCTAATTAAATAATTTGGGAAGGTTTATCTTATACTCAGCGGGGCTGATTCCAGCAGATCCTGGAGTTCAGCGGTGAGGGGGAGGTCTTGGGCGTCTGTGAGGAGTTTTAGATTCGGCTGTGGCAATTTTCTTTTCGGTCTTCGAAAGAGGGGGAGTTGGTTGGGTCGCCAAGGGGTGCGAAGTGTGTTTTGGGAGTGTGTGTTTGTGCCTTTCAGCGTGCGAGAGACGTATTGTTTCCTGAGGGACTGGAAACGTGTGAGGATGGGGGTGTTGGGGGTGTTTAAAAAGACTTCTCCGCTGGGGGAGCGATAGGGGAGGTATTGGCATCGTCTGAGGATACGTCTCTCGAGTGTGGTGAGTTTGTGGGACAGGTGTGTGGGAAGTACACCGTAGGGTATAGCTCTGTATTCGGCAACGGGTCGGATGAAGGAATTGTAAGTATGGATGAGGGTATCTGGGTTACAGCGCCCTATTCGCCCGCACAAAGCTCCAAGGAGACTGGCTCGCTTTCGCATCTTATCAAGAGTGCGTTGGACGTCAGAGGACCAGTTAAGAGTACGAGAAAATCGTACCCCCAAATAGTCGACTTCGGTCTGTTGAGCTAGCCTGACTCCTAGGAGATTTACGTTTACGAGTTGGGGGTTCTGAGAGGTTCTTTTGGAATTTGGGTGTTTGAAGACGATAAATTGAGTTTTCTGTGGATTTAATGAGACCCTCCATCTGCTACACCAGTGAGAGTACCGGTTTAACAGATTTTGGGTTCGAATATTTAGTTGGTTAGAATTTTTGGCTACCGAAATTAGAGCTGTGTCGTCTGCGTATAGCAGGCATTTGGATGTGGGGTGGTTTGGGGGGGGAATGTCGTGCGTGTAAATGAGATAGAGGAGGGGGGCAAGGACGGAGCCCTGTGGGACTCCTGCTAGTGGGGTGAATGTTTCGGATAAGGAGTTGCCCACTTTGACTGTAATTTTTCTGTCTGAGAGGTAGGAGTGTATGAGTTTCGAAATTTGGGGGGGGGAGACCTATGTTCATAAGTTTTTTGACTAGTCCGGCATGCCAGACTTGGTCAAAGGCTTTTTGAACATCTAGGAGAACAGCTGAGGAGATGTGCTGGGAATTTACCGCCGTGACAGCGGTAGTGTGAAGGGATGATATTGCGTCCTGGGTGGAGTGGTGGGGTCTGAAACCATGTTGGGATTGGGGTATGATGTTTCTCTCTTCACAAAATTCCCAGATTCTTTCCTTGAGCAGAAGCTCGAGGAGTTTACCTAGGACCGATATGAGAGAGATGGGTCTGTATGAATTTAGGGATTTGGGGTCCTTGCCTGGTTTGGGGATCAAAATGGTGTTTGCGGATTTCCAGGCAAGTGGAAAATAGGATAAGGAGAGGCAGGAGTTTAGGATAAGAGTGAGAATAGGAAATATGGTTTCAGGGAGATGTTTCAGAGTTCTCCTGTGGATGGAGTCAGGCCCGGAGGCCGTGTTTTTGCCTGCTTGGCAGGCGTATTGGATGTCTTGGGGGGTGAATGGGGCGGTGAGGGGGTTTTCGACATCCAAAGGGGGGAGTGGGGCGGCAAGTGTCTGAAGGACGTGATGTTCGGTCTCGATTTTGAATTGTTCGTCAAAGTGGGGGTTGTCGGGGGTTCTGAATGTGGCTTCAAGGTGGGTTTTATGGGCCAGATGAAATTTGATTTGACCGTCTTATTTATACCTTCTCAGCAGGCAAGCTCGAAGCCCGGCAATTTCGGAGTGGGAGATACCCAATTCAAATGTTCTTCCAGAACCTTGATGAATACAACTGATAATTGACATGAAATTGAATCTACAAATGCCCTTTCGGATTTCGGCAAATATGGAAATATTTTAATCTACGAGGGTACTTGTAATTGTTTAAAAATGGGAATTCCTGGGAAACACAAATACGGGGGCCCTTCTAAACGTTCCCAGGCGGAAATTAATTAAAATATTCATTTTTATAATTAATTAAAAATAAAAGTTAGCGACTTGTCACATCGTCACCAAAGAAATCGTTATAAACAGTTTTTTTTCTTTTTTCTTCTTCTTATACTTTATATCTTTTTGGGAGTTAGTTTGGAAGTCCGTGTTCTTTTTCATCTATTGCCTCCTACTATATTTTGCTATATTAGTTTATTTTATTGCTCAAGTTTTTACACAATAAATAAATACATAAGATTTCGGAACTTTAAATCAATCTGTTTACCATGAATAAATAGTTCCGATTAATATACATAACCATTTTGTTTACAGTTACACATGTCCATTGTTTGTGAGAGGCTTTAGAAAAGAACTCGAAGACGATGATCTATACGATGTTATTGGAAAATGTCGTTCGAAAAAATGTGCAGATAGGTTGGAACATGCATATTTTAGTAAGGTGAAAATAAAAGAACCAGGGAAGAAAGTTTCTATATTACGAATTATATGGAATTTATATGGTTTACAATATGTTGCATTAGGACTTTTCCACATGACTGGAAAAATATTATTCAGGTAGGTATTATTCAAAAAGTGTTTTATTTAGTTCTTGTTCATTAATAATTAATAAAACGTAAATGCTCATCTTTTAAAAAATCAAACTACCGATGTTATAAAAACTCTAACACTAGAACATAGTTTATAAATAAAAATATAAAAAATAAAATATTAGATTTTTTAAAAAATTAATTTACGAACTCAAGTAGAATGTTTTCAGTGAACCCACTATTTCATTTCGTGGCATCTAATTGAATATTTCTTTTACTAAAGGGTGTCTCAGTAATATTTTCGTTTATTAATCCGTTCGCTGGCGCAATAGGCACATTCCCGAGAAAGAAGACGTTTGGCAAACGGTGGTCGACAATAAAAGCCATATTCGAGGGGTCTCTTTGGTTTAAAAATATTTTCAACAACTTTTAGAACCAGTTTTAATACTACGTCATAGATTTTGAAAGCGCTCAAATAGATGATTTTAAAACAGTGATGTCACTAACAGTTAAGGATTTTTGAGTGTGTAAATCTCTAGCAACAGATAACTTTTGCCTCAAAAAAAGCTCATATATTACCAGAGTTTTATGTAAAATAGATCATTATATTTAGAATCCGACTTTAACCAGTTATTAAGAATTACAAGGTCAAGTTTTCAAAAATTACTAAAAATTATAAACCTTCATAATTATGCATTTTCTATTTTTTCTTATAACCGTAATACAAAAAATCTTTTTTGATAATTAATTTTAATGCATGATCTTCGCTACAATTTTTGACATTAATGACATTTCTATTTCCTTGAACCGTTCTCAATGAAACGTTTCAAAAACAGATGTAGCTGGTTTAAACCTGTTTCAACGTGACGTCATTGTTTGGTCACTCGAATGGGAATAGTTCAAACCGTTTTCGAACCGCAAGAAATATATTTAAACCAGTAGACCGCTCGAATATGGCTTAAGGGCGCCATTTCAGTGTATTTTACGTGGTCAAAACATAGGTTTACGATTTTTTACAGAACTTATTTTTCACTGGATGGATTTTAATGAAACTTTGGCAGATTATAGAAAAATGTTTAATGATTGAAATGAGACATTTTCATTTGTCCTGCTATTTATTAAATACTATTAAAAAATATAAAAAAGTGATAGTCACAGATGTAGTTCAAAAAACTTTATAGCATTCTACATATTTTTCTGAATATTCTTGCCAAATTTTAATAATCAATGTTGCGTACTTTTTAAGTTCTGTACAAAATACGATTTCATCTAAAATTGATAATTTCACTACGTCCATGTTGTTTTTTAGTTCAGGACCTAAATTATAGATGTCCGATGAAGCAAAAGTAGCGAAAGCTTCGGCGCCGTGTTGCCATATTTTAAAATTGTCTTGAATTTAGACAAAAATATATTATTATGGTTATTTACAATTTACACAAATGTAAATTATATATACAGGAGACTCATTTTTTAACGTTTTCTTATTAAGACGAATTTTTAATAAAATTTGGTGCTTTGTCTAAAATTAAAATCTAAATTAACCAATATTTAAAATAAATGTCTTTATACGAGGAAAAACAAAAGTTTGTAAAAAAATTGGTTAAAGATGTAATTTTTTTAATGTATGCTGAGTTTTTTTTTTGTAAATAAAGTGTGAATTCGGCAAAATGGGCATGAGTTGGTTATTCAATATGTTAACTATCATGAGAGAAATATTCATCAATGCAATAAAGTGATGCTACTTTGAAGGCCAGTAATGTAATAATATATTTTTTCTACACCCGTATTATAATAATGCACTTATATGCCCATAATCCGTTTCATAATGATACCCATTATGATACAGATTTTTCATTACGATACAGATTTTTAATCAATAGAAACCTACAATTTTTCAATCAAGCATGCTGTTTGACGTTTGTCCTAGGTTCCTATGTAATTATTTTAGTTGTCAAAACGTATTAAATTTTCGTAGGTAGCTAAACTTCGATAATTATAATATTAAAATGTCTGATATTAGCGATATAGAAGACTCCTCCACACATATCGGAGAAAGCAGAAAATACAGTACAAAATATTTTACCGCAAAAATCTAGGGAAATACCAATACCTGAAGTAATACCATTAATTACAATTTTGTAGAATTTTTTATAGAAATACGAGTAATTACTGTTATTGTGTTCAATACCAATATAAATATAATATTTATAGGTCTTGATTATTTATCGGGTGTAGAAAAAATAGCGTATGCAACTCTCATGTAATGGTTATTAAAACACTCGCATAAACCATACGAAACTCGCCTTTGGCTCGTTTCGTATCCCGGTTAATGCTCGTGTATTAATAACCATCATTACATGATCGTTGCATAATATACTATATTAGGCTATTAGTGACACCGATATCTTTTTGCTCCAGTTCATGGTTTCAAAAAAAAATCAGTTAAAATAACACTCATGACTCTTTCATTAACTCTTCAAAAATGTTTTTTATTAGGAAGGATAAAATGAAAAATTTCTAAGTATCCAGTAAAAGCTTTATTTAATTCAATAAATAGGTATGTAAATAAATAACAAAATATTCTTTTCAAATGGCCTCTCTGGCTTTCAGTCGTTTTGGAATATTCCTTTTTTCTAAAAAAAAAAAGTTAAATGAGGTTAATTTTGTTAAAAAAAGCGTAAGTTCAAAATCATACAATAAAAATTAAAATTTCATATTTTTCTTTTTTAGATTTTTATACCTTTTGGACTACGCACCTCAGAAAATCCATAGAGGGGTATTTTTGTAGAAAATTTAATTTCCTACAAATTGTTCTTTGACAATTTTTTTATAACTTCAACTGTTTTGTTGATAAGAACGAAAATATAATACTTTTTGAAAAAATTGGGCTTTCGAAGCCGACACCGATGAGACGGGTTCAAGTACAAAAAAATGTTAGTGGGCACTTTCAAAGAGTCACTAATATACTACAAATTCAGACTAATCGCAATGGATTACCATGAAATCAAACGGAGCTATATTAATTTAAATTTTAAAAATCATGGTCTATTTGTTATTTAAATGGGAAACATACATCGATCGAAAGGAACCACTTAAAATCAAAATTACGGGCTCAAAATTTAAGGGAAGTTTTTTTTGATAAAATGAACAAAATTTTCATGTGTCAGCGAATCAAAAAAAAATGTTCGTTTTAAATGGAACACCCTAAATACATATATATGCCTACAATCTTTTAGGATGGTAGGAGACGCTAAAATACACAATTTTTGTTCTAAAAATGTATGTCCAAAAACTCTTCGTTTCCAAGATAAGTTTTAAATAAAATTCAAATTTTAATGAATATCTCGAAAAATTTTAATTCATTTCAATGAAATTTTTAAAGTTTGTTGTTTCCTATTTTAATAAATTATCTTTTGGGCCTTTTAGCGTGTATCCAGCGTTATTATATAATTTTATTAGATTTCTGCTGAAAAAGAATATCACCATGTATATTTTTAAATTTTTATAATGGTTTTGATTAAACGTTATAAAATACAACTCTTTGTATTTTATTTTTTTTTTGTTGTATAGCGCCTTTCGTTTTGAGATGTATTTTTAGTTGCTTCAGAGACGTGCATGCAAAAGTTTAGATATTATTTGTTTATCAGAAAGCGAAAAGAAATTCGCAAAAATATAAAGAGACAATAAAGTAGTATTTTTAGTTGTTTTATTCAAAACAAGTATCAACATTGTAAATATATAATAGACGCTATAACTTTTGGTTAAAATTCCCTGTATTTCGGACATGTGTTTATTCAACAAAAATATTTACCCCTACCGCCCTTCGGTTTAGTTTATTTTTGTTTAAACTTAAATTTTAAATTATTAAGATATGAAGCAGTGCATAGGGATCGTACTTCCACATATGTTTTTATCACCCTTTGCATCAACCTACCCTTATCTCAAAATTTTCAATGGTACCCTGCATTTATTGTAAAGTATTATGAAAGAGCACACTTTTAAGTACATCCATATTAAAAAATTACAAAGAATACTTTTTAGAATATTTTAATTTAAAATTTTGGCAAAATATTTTATTTGCTAGGAAAAATCAAGGGAGCTATATGTATGAAAAGAATGTGAAATTTATTTCCTCGATGCACTGCCTCGCCCCCAAAAATTCAAGATTCCAATTTAAATTTTACCAAAAATAAAGCCATCCAAAATTTTCAGGTGAACTCGGTATAAAGTTAAAATGACCTAACACCTGATTTCGATAGATTTTTTTGGAGACTTCAATCCACAAACCATATTTTTTTAAATAATGAATTTAAATTATAGTTTAATAATAGTAATAGGTACTTACCACCCAAATTTAGTACACAAAAAAACTACACAGTTAATGTAAAATTAACGAAAAATAATAAAAATATACTGGAAATATAATAAACACTCAAATTAAACTTACGAACACAAATCAAAAATACACATAACTAAAATAAATAAAACAAATAGCCCATATATATACTTATTTATTTCAATCATTATTTGGAAATAGGGCTAAATATACCTACCTATTTATAATAGATTAGGGAAGGTCAGTGCTACTAACAAATTCTCGATTATTATTTAATCGGATTATCCCAAGTACCTGCTGCTACCCTAATTAGACAGTTAAATATTTAATTCACTGTAAACGAGAAAAACCTCGCTAAAGAATTGGTAGACTGCCTAATAATATATTTCAATAAATATGCGGTGTTGACAAATCTTTTTCACCAGACCAACTTATTAGAAAACATAAAATAGGAGTATGTTGCGTATATTATTTAGCTGGCCGATTTTTGCGATATAATGGACAAAATATGGAGGTTAAAGAGTGTAGCTACATCTACGTAGGAAAGGATTAACTAAAATTCACATTTAAATCATTGAATCAAAAACCGGAAGTGCTGTGGCGTCCTTAAGTTTTAGTTGCAATGGAGCAATTTACTTGGCTGCAACGTGTTTTTTGTATTCGTGTGTTTTATAAAAACAATTACTCTTATATTCTTGTACGTCGTTTGCACACAAGAATAAAAGATATCCCAAGTGCAAATTTAAATTCCAGTACTTTTAAACTTTTTTAACGAATATTTAATTAAATTTGCAGTTGGGACATCAATCATTCTTGCTATTTTATAATGATTTCTGTACAAACGACGCACAAGAACAAAAGAATAATTGTTTTTATAAAACACACGAATGCAAAAAGCACGTTGAAGCCGTGTAAATTGCTCCATTGCAACTAAAACTTAACAATCTTAACATGTCGACCACTGTTTGCCAACTGCTTCTTTCTCGGGAATGTGCCTATTGCGCCAGCGAACGAAATAATAAACGAAAATATTTCTGAGACACCCTTTATAACTGATTTTTTTCTCGCTTTATTGGCAATGGACATTAGTCCTTTAGCCACACACCAATTGAAAGGTATTACGTTTAAATATTAGATATTAATATTATTTTTACTTACATAATCTACCAATAAATCGTACACAGATTGATTTCCAGTCGCGAGCAACACCTTAACACACGTAGGAAACTGAATACCTGCTTTCATAAGACCATCCCACAGGTCATTATTACAAAAACTCTTACAGCCGAAAAATATGTGATCGAGATCTGCGACCTCGTTATCAAAAGAACATAGTGGAGAATCTGTCAGTCCTATTTTATATAAATGAGACGGAAAGCACCCATGGTTAATTTTCAATCTAGTTATAATTGTGCAGTACTTTTTATTAACTTTGTCATTGAATATATGTGATATTTTATTTGGCAACTCCTTGTAGATAGAAAAATATGAACTATTTGAATTTTTTGTTATTTCTCTCCAATATTTATTCCAATCTCTGTAAATACTATCTTTATATTTTCCGTAAAGATCTTTGTAACAAGGATTTTTTAAAAGATTATTGCATTCCCTTGCTTCTTTTGCAGCCTTATCAACTAACTCATTTCCATAGATGCCACTATGTCCTTTCGTCCATATAAATATAATTTTAACCTTTTTAACTTCTAACTGATTAAGCAAATTTTTTATCTTACATATAATAAAATTATCAAAATGTTTTATTGTTATATTTTTTATGCTCTCTAACACCGATTTTGAGTCAGATATTATTATTGCACTTTGTACCTTGTTTTCAGCTGTAAAAATGCTACAAATCGCTGGTAATTGAAATTTACACATTTCTTTATTATTTTTTATATAGAAGGCACTACCGACTCCTTTCAGATTTTTACTTCCATCTGTATAAATTATTGTATTTACTTTATAACTGCTAATTGCAGAAAGTAATGAAGTTTTATTATAGGAGGGTAATTCATTATAGTTCGGAAATATGACGGTGGACTTTGAAAAAATTGATTCGTAGCTATGTTTAAACACAGGTAACTTATTTGTTGTTTCAATAAATTGACTAAATTCATTAGTTTCAAGAAAAGCAGTTGGCAATAAAGGTAAGTTTTTTATTCTCCAGTAGCGGTTTGTTAAAATTTGTGTGTTCAAATTACTGATTTTAAGCATTAAGAACGAATTATACCTATGTGCTCAACTTAGTAATATATTTGTTAGCGATTAATTGTCGCCTAAAACGTAAGGGTGGTTCATTTGCTTCCGCCAGAATTGCGTTAGTAGGAGAATATTTCATTGCTCCGATACAAAGTCTTATTGCTTTGTATTGTATACGATCAACTTTTTTTAAATTTGTGTTTGATGATGATCCGTAAAAAACACAGCCGTAGTCAATAATAGCTCTGATAAATGACCTATAAAATAGTAATGCTTTTTGTGGGGCAGCGCCCCAAGATTTTTTGGTAACACAACGAAGAATGTTTAACCCTTTTTCACATCTGTTTCTTAAATATTCGATATGGCTCGTCCAAAGCAGTTTTGGATCTAATACCATACCGAGATATTTATATTCAGTGACAACAGGTATCTTTAAATCTAATAACTGTATATGTGTACTTTTTTATAACTGATTGATTTATAAACTAAACACATCTGTAAGTTACACATGGGTACACGAACGAATTTCTAATATTGGTAAACTTATAATAATAATAATGAATATTTCATTTGTTAATGAGTTTAGGAAACATAACCTCATCTCATGGGTGCCATTCACAACATTTCCAGAGGGGGGGGGGGCGGTCAAGTCTTACAGGCAGGGTTAACACGCCGCAGGCTATAGCAGGAAGCATGGCAAAAACATACAAAATCACAAATTTTTTGGGGGGGGGGGGTGGCAGACCCTCTCCTTACGTTCGTGTGGCGGCGGCCATTTTATTAACCACATATAACGCTTCACAGTGGGTTTAGAAAATCAACTGTACTATTTCTCTGAATTAGCGTTCACTTTTTGACATGTATTTATCTTTGTGAATACGAATAAAACGCATAATATTTTTTATTTGCACTTAGTGTCGGGACGTGCTTGTGCATGCTTATTTTCCGCCCCGAGGATTAGAATACCTATCTGTTCTAAACATCAGTCCTCTTTAGTTATATTATTTTGTAAATATTTACTCTTAAAACAATACCAACCATTTACCATAATTTTAATTCGTCTTCAAATTGATGTTAAATAACCAGAATTGAAAACTCGTTGGGAAATACGTTATAATTATATGAGGAAGTGATTTTATTTAATAAAAATTTAAATCCGAAAAATCAGTTAAAGAAAAGTACAAAAATAGAATTGAAACAATTAATAAAGATTATGTGCTTATGGAGGAAGATATAAATATTCATGTGCTTAGAACTTAGAAACGTTATTTAACAATCAAGTATATAGGGCGAATTTATTGTGTTATCAGTTAAGAAAATACAATTCCCTCACACAATGTACCTCATTTCTTAATTAAATAAATCTGAGCAAGTGCATTTTGTGTTGTAACCGTAGGGAAAGCGTTTTTACTGCATTCTCGTAATTTCCTATTTTGAGACGTAAAATATAGTGAAAGTATATCCTTTTCTATATTAAAATAATTTTCTTTCAGTACTTTGGAACCAGAAGCCGTTTCACAACTAGTAGGATATTTTAAACCTGGACAAACTAGAATGACAATCTACGATGCTTTATACTTTGCGGCAATGATGATTGGACTCAAGGCTTTTCACACAATATATTTTCAAAATTACGTTATTTATTTAAACGAATTGGCTCTCCAGATAAAAGTCTCCTTTTGCTCTTTAATTTATAGAAAGGCTCTTAGATTGACGCCTTCGGCTCTTGCAGACACCAGTTTAGGTTAGTAAATGTTTTAATTTTATTTAAAAATAAATATATTCAGGATATTTCGTGACCATTCTGGGATTCATAAAAATTAAAACTTGAAATTAAGAATAGAATGGCCGAAATTAACGAGCGATAACGAGCAATATATAGTGCGTCCACAAAGTAAAGCATAAGCTCATTATTAGCTAAATAAACAATACTATTAAAAATTCCCGAAAGAGGTCGATTTTTGATTTTAATTTGGTGTTTTCTAAAATAATAATCTAATATACAGGATGAACTACCTTCGTGTAATTACGTCACGAATGTTGTGGTTCCATTATATAATGGAGGTGACTGAGTCGTCTAATTTTAGGTCCATATCTCTAATTCCGTCATTAGGAAAAATTATTGAAAAACTTGAAAAAACTTGACTAGTTAGATATCTTGATCAAAATAATATAATGGACATAAATCAATTCGGTTTTCAACATAAGAATCGGATGCTGTTTCTTCTTGTTTAGAATTAGCTATGACAAGTATAAATTTCAACGAGGCCGTAGCTGCAGTATTTTGTGATCTGACGTAAGTTTTAGACTATATCAACAACGGAGTACTGCTGCGAAAGCTTACGGTATAAGAGATCTGGCATTGAGCTGGATAAAATTCTACCTTTTGGATCACAAACAGTCCGAACTGTTTCAGACTTGCTAACAAGTGACATAAAATGGGGCGTTCTTCAATGTTCTGTCCTTGGGCCCACCTTTTTTTTAATTTATATTAATGATTTAGGTAGGTTGAATATCTCAGGAACTTTCACTCTGTTTGCTGATGATACTACAATCTTCTCATTTTCAGTTAAAGGCATTTTTAAAAAATCAGGTTGTAAAATAGATTAAAAAGATTTCACGTAAACGTACCGACTTCATTGCGTTGATAATACATAATATCTGTATTCTCATATTTATGACAGTTTTCAACGTCAAAAAAAATTAGTAAGAAATACTCTCAAACAACAATTGAGGGGCTAGGAGCACTAGTAAAAGCGGTTAGGTACAATGTTAAAAATATACGGGGTGTTTTTTATAGTTTATCAAAGTAGTTGTGAGACAATACATAATTTCATTTCATTTATTTCTTATTTTACAAGTAATTGGAAAAATGAGTGTTACATTGAAAAAAATAGGTGTGTGTGTGTGAGTGTGAGTATGAGTGTGAGTGTGAGTGTGAGTGTGAGTGTGAGTGTGAGTGTGAGTGTGAGTGTGAGTGTGAGTGTAAGTGTGAGTGTGTGTGTGTGTGTGTGTGTGTGTGTGTGTGTGTGTGTGTGTGTGTGTGTGTGTGTGTGTGTGTGTGTGTGTGTGTGTGTGTGTGTGTGTGTGTGTGAGAGAGAGAGAGAGAGAGAGAGAGAGAGAGAGAGAGAGAGAGAGAGAGAGAGAGAGAGAGAGAGAGAGAGAGAGAGAAAATATATATGTCTATTGCCTACAATTTTCTTCAAACAAATATTAGTAAAGATCTTAAATCTTTTAAAACAAGGTGCACTACAAATTTTTTTCATTAAATTAAAAAAAAAAACAAAAATAATAATCGTTAAATGTAATATTCCTGATATTTTAATAGATATGGATACTATAGAAGCCAAAAACTCTACAAGTTTAAATATAATAATTTAGGAGTTTGTGCAGCAAAAACTGCATATTATGCGTTAGTTGACACCCATTTACCTTAGGCTGTTCAGTTTTGGGGAGTTTGTTCTGCCGAGTTCATTGGTAGTCTTTATAATGTAGAAACGGGAAATAAGGTTCTTATTTGGAGCAGACAGATTAGGTTCAAGTAGACAACTGTTCTTAAAACATGAAATATTATCATTAATGATAATTGTTGCATGATCCATAAGAATAATTTGAATATATCCCGTGTAACTTGCCAAACAGGTAACTGAAGTTATTCCGAAAACTGAACTCATACAAGATTATTTCATATACAGTATGATATCAACAGGCTATCACATACGCTGACAGACATATTGAGTCACAAAATTGTTTTAAAAAGTTGCTCAGGAGGTCTTATTATGATTTTATAGAATTTTATAATGACGAGACACTGATATTATGTGTTTTATTTTGTTTTATATTATTTTTAGATGTAACTATGTATTCATGTTAATTTATAATAATGTGTGTTTATATTTTAAAGATCATTTATTTATTCATGCTTTGTATAACAATACTGTGTTCAGTGTCGGATTGTGACCTCCAGTGCCTACCGGTCAGGAGGGAGAAGGGCCCACCTTTTTTATGGCTCATTGAAGAGCAAAACAAAAAGGAGGTCTTTTTTCATTGAAGAGCAACAAAAAAAGGTTCTCTCTCATTGAAGAGCAACAAACAAAAAGGTCCGCTCTAATTGAAGAGTAAAAGGTCCTATCTTATTGAAGAGCAAAAACAAGGACTTCTCTCATTGGAGAGCAAAGAAAATGATTGTCAAGATGTTACTCTTTTATTTCCTAGTTCTATAATCATTGTAAAACTGAAAATATATATTTAGATGAAAATAACAACTGATAAATCACATTAAGTTATGCTCAATAATACAAGAAAATGGAAAATGCCAAGAAACTCACTATAGGCACATATTGGACCCTTGTGCAAAGAAATTCAAAATAAAAAATATTTTCTGCTCTTTTAGCTTAATCAGATGATATGCATTTTTCTTGAGGATAAACAAGATACAGTGTTCATCTGAAACCGATTTCTTCCACAACAAAACATGAAGATGTTATGTACATCTAGGATTTAAATCTTCATACCTAGCATCACTATCTGATAGACTGAGATCAAGATGATAGCCAGAACGTCTAGAACCTATGAACCTAATCTTTCATGGACATCACCATTATAAAGTTTTAATGTCTCAGTCCCGATAAAAATTGGAATAGATAGAAGGCCTTAGGTACAAATAAGGAGATTTAAATGTTGTAAAAACAAAATATGTGACTCAATTCCGAAAGAACTAAATAAATGTCCCTTACATAAACAAAATTTTGTAAATGTTAACAAAGACAGGACCATAAAATTAAAGTGAAATAAATTTAACAAGATATTTTTTTAGTTGTGGATTTTCTTAAATAATCAACTTGAAGGGCCTGAATAGTAGTCACTTTTATAGGATAATTATGAATGTATTACCTAATTTGTACAGTTGTGTGCTGATAAATCTGTTTATGTATTTAATAAATAGAAACACTTGGCATAACATTTTATTTTAATAAAAAGCACAGAGCTGTTTATTTGGAATTGGTTTATTCATGTTTAATAATGTTTATAAATTGTTGATACATAAGGTTTACTTTTTTATCTTGCTTGACACTTTATAATCTATATTTATTTGGCTCGTGGAGTTCTAGGAGTGACGGATTTTTCTGTCACACTCCTGCAGGTGCAAATCTATTTTTGATTTGGTGTATTTTTAGTTATTTCTTTTAGTTCTTCACGAAGACTTTCAATAGTTTTCTCTAAAATAACAATTTCATTTTGGTGGTCACATCTGAAACAATGATATAGAGATTAATTAAAAATATTATACATTTCTATTTAATTCCGTGTAATATTCAATAGTTCTACGTGCTAAGTTACGTAATTTTCATTTCAAAGCCACAGGTACCTAATACAATTTTCACATTAAGAATATTTTTTGTTAATAAGGTAAATTCGTACTTACATTTCTAGTTATGGAGATACTGAAATATTAACAAAGCTATCAATAAATGTTTGTCGATATTTTTTTGTCTCCCTTATTAATTTATCGTCATATTCTGCAGACAATTGTTGTCCTTTTTTTAACTCAGAGATTTTCAGTAGAAATTATTGTTGGTTTTAAATTTCTTCCAGTTTTAGGTGAGCAGTTTAACAGCATCTGTTGTAAGGATATTTCAAAACCATCCTTTAAAAAATGTGTAGAAAAATACAAGCTTAAAAAAGAAACAATACCTACAAAAATGATTATAATTCAATTTAGTTTTGCAAAAACCATACCATTCTTCAGGTTATTTGTATCTTTCCTCCTGCAAGCATTGATCTATGCTTTAAATACGTCTGGTTTCGAAAACCAAAATACTTAATGTTTGTTCCCTTTGTTTTTCACGAATAGTTCTTGTAGCCATACACCGCACAACCTGGCTAGTAGCTACACTTCCTAAAATAGTAGATTTTAATGTAGGTAACAATAATAATAATTAATACAGCAAAAATATGACATAACCTAACTTTATATCAATTACACTATCAATTTAATTAGAAATTAATTGAATAATACCTACCAATAATTACTAAAAAGACATCTTGATGTATAGAAATAATATTAAATTTTAAGATAAATACATCTATAAAGTTCTAAGCACTATCAGAAAAATGTCATAGTAACATAAAAACTCGCTTTTTAACATGAAGACATAGGCAAAATAAAAATCTACTTCGAAAGTGACGTCATGCGCAAGGCTGACTGAATTTCGTACCTGTATTTTTCCACCATGGTTTGAAAGTATTTCTTTAAAAATTTTTTTGACGTTGAAAACTGTCATAAATATTAGAAAAGCACATACTTTGATAAAGATGTAAAGATGTAGAACAGAGAAATTCTATATTATCAACGCTATGAAGTCGGTACGTTTACGTGAAATCTATTTAACCTATTTTACAACCTGATTTTTTGAAAATGTCTGTAACTGAAAATGAGAGGATTGAAATGCACAATGAGCCTAGTCACGGCTAAGTGCTGTGGGTTAACCCACCCTCCAAAGGTTACAGATACAAGGAGGATTGAAATATTAATGATGATTGGTGTCGACGATAGGAAATGATCTTAACAAAAGATATACAGGGTGTCCCTAAATTCCGTGTACACAGATCTACTGTATGTTGGTGAGATCAAAATAAGTCGATTGAGCCAAAATTACCTATATCACAAAGTCCATCGTTTGCCTGTGAGGAAGCTTCAAAGTTGGAAGAACATTTAAAATTTTTTTTAATAACACAAAAACG